AAAGCAAAGCATGCACAGGGAGGGAGCCCTGGAGCCCTGCAGAGGGGGCCACTCACGTATTCAGTCAAGTAAAGATAAGCACATGCCTGGGAGGAAATTATTCAAGGCTCAGAAGAGAAGCACTGGGAGGACTGGAGGGACCAATGCGCACTGCTCATGCAGGGCTAGGAATAGGGTCTGTTCCCACCAAGCAGACTAGGAAAATGGACACTTCCCGGGGTCTCGGGCACTCAGAAAGGTCCTGCCTCAGTACTGGGAACAGTTCACCCTGAATGGGGCACGGTGCCAGACGCCCTGTTACAAATCAGAAAAACAAGACCAGAAAGGATCAAACCATGACCAGGTAACTTAACTGCACCCCAGAACAAAGCTCCAGAATATTTGTAGAAATACAAAAATAGCCTGTACCAATGAAGGGAAAAACTCCTCACAATGTCTGGCATCTGATCAAAAATTATCAAACAGGCAAAAAAGCAGGAAACAGTGAGCCATAAGGAGGAGAAAAATCAATCAATCAAAACCAACCCTGAAAAGTTAACACTGTAAACTAAAACCCCTAAAGAACCCACCAAAAAGTAACAGCCCAGAGTTATAGCTAAAGAGCCACAAAGAAGATAAAATGGAATACATGAAACTCTTGATTGTGCAGAAGAAGACAGAAGAAGAGGAAAGATGGAGAAAAAAAAAGATGGGACAAATAGAACGTGCGTGAGAGATAATGCACTCACACCTATGGGTGAGCACGTTAAGTGTAAATGGTCTAAACACCCCAATAAGAGGCAGATATGGTCAGACTGGGTTAAAAAGGCAGAGCCCTCCTAGGTACTGCCTACAAGAAACACACTTTAAGTATAAAGACACACACAGGTTAAAAGGAATTACAGACCTTTGAAATATACATAAAGCCAAACATGATATAACTGAAAGGAGAAATAGACAAACCCACAATTACAGTCAGAGATTTCAGTATCCCTCTCTCAATAATTAGACAAGTAGGCAGAAAATCAGCAAGAAGGTAGGCAACTTGGGCATTACTGCCAACCAACTTGACTGACATTTATAGAACAAGCCACTCAAATACACATTCTTTCCAAGTGCACATGGAACATTTACCAATACAGACCATGTTCTGGGCCATAAAACAAGACTTAATAAGTTGAGAAGGATTCAAGTTACATAAATTATATTCTTTGACCATAATGGAATTAAATTTTAAATCAATAACACAAAAATCCTTGGGAAATTCTCAAATATTTGGAATTTAAATAACACACTTCCAAATAACCCTTGAGTCAAGGAAAAATCAAAAAGGAAATTAGGAAGCATTCTCAACAGAATGAAAATAAAAACACAACACATGGGAACTTATGCAAAACTGCTACAGCAGGGCTCAGGGTGAAATTTCTACCATGAAATGCCTATATTGGACAACAAGAAAGCTCTCAAATCAATGACCTCAGCTCCCATCCTAAGAAAAACAGAAAAAGAAATGCAAATTAAACCTGAAGTAAGCATGAGAGAGGAAACAATAAAGATCAAGTAGAAGCTGATGAAATAGAAAACAGAAGAACAACAGAAAAAACAGGAAAATCAGACCAAAACTTTGTTCTTTGAGAATATCGATAAAAATGGATAACCCATGAACCAATCTGACCAGGAAAGGAGACAGATAAAGAGATAGAACTGAAATGACCAATGTCAGGAATGAGGGAGGTGATATCACTACGGATTGTACAGCTATTAAAGGAATAATAAAGGAATATTATGAAAACTCTGTGACAATAAATTTGACAGGTTAGGTGAAGGTGTCTTTAAAAACACAAAATACCAAAGCCCACTCAAAGAAAAATAGATAACCCTTTATCTAGTAAAGAACCGAAAGTGTAGTTGAAAACCTTCTCACAAAGAAAACTCCAGGCCCAGACGGTTTCACTGGTGGATTTTACCAAACAGTTAAAGAAAAAATAATAGCGATTATATACAAATCCTATTAAAAAATTGACTCATTCTATGAGGTCAGCATTACCTTGATACCCAAACCAAAGATAATATAAGAAAAGAAAACCACGGACCACTATTCCTCATAAACATAGACACAAAAATCCTATACAAAATTTTGCAGATAGAACTCAACAATGTATAATATGGATAACACATCACGACCAAGTGTGTTTTATCCTGGGAATGTAGGGTTGGTACCACATTTAAAAATTAATCAGAGTAATTCACCATATCAACAAACTAAAAAAGAAGAGCCATATAGTCACCTCCACAGGTGCAGAAAAAGCGTTTGACAAAATTCAACACTCATTCCTGATTAAAAAACAAAGCCCAAACTCTCAGCAAACTTAGGAGTAGAGGGAAACTCCGTCAGCCAACAAGGGGCATCTAAGACTGAATGTTTTCTCACTTAAATCAGGAACAAGACAAGAATGTCTGCTCTGACCACGTCCATCCAACATTGTACTGGAGGTTCTTGCAATCTGGCAGGGAAATGTCATACAGATTGAAGAGGAGGAAGGAAAACTCCTTTATTCATAGACAACCTGGTCATCCAGAGGTGCAGGGGCAATTCAGTGCATAAGTGATAGCATTTCCAATAAATCACGCTGGAACAAATCGGATATCCACAAGCAGAAAAAAGAGAGAGAGAGAAGGAGAGGAGGAACTTGGATTTATATCTCATACTACATCCAAAAATTAACTCAAAGTGGATCATAGAACTAAATGTAAAACTAGAACTATTAAAAACATAAGGGAAAATCTCTGTGAATTCGGACAAAAAGATTTCCTACATTCAACATGGAAAGCATGGTCCTTAAAAAAACAAACTGGTGAGTTGAAATTCATCAAAATATTTAAAAAATGGCTCTTCCAAAGACAGTGTACAGAGAATGAAAAGATAAGCCACTGAGAGGGAGAAAAGTTTTGCAAAGCATATATTTCATAAAGGGCTGATCCAGAATATATAAAGAACTCTAAAACTCAATAATAAACCCAGTTTTTGAAAATGGGTAAAAGATTCTTCACTTCGCTAAACAGACACTTCACTAAACAAGATAGATGGATGGCAAATCGGCACGTGAAAAGATGCACGACACCATTAGCTACTGGGGAAACGCAAAATAAAATCGCAGGATCGCACTCTATAAGAATAGCTAAAATTAAAAAGACTAACCATCCCACATGGCCATAATGTGGAGAAGCCCCGCATCTCTGCTGGAAATGTAAAGTGATGCAGTTTGGCAGTATCTTTTTTCTTTAAAATTTAAGCATAGATGTGACCTCATAATCCTGCTTCTACGCATTTCCCCACGAGAAAAGGAAATGTTTGTCCTTACAAAGACTTTCACATGAATGCAAAAAGCAGCTTTATTTTTAATTGACAAAAACTGGAAACAACCCAAGTGTCCATCAACAGATGAATGGATAAACACATTTTTGTGTATCCATACTACAGCAATCAGAAGGAATGTTCCACGGATGCACAGAAAGGCATGGATGAATCTCAAAACAGTTATGTTGAGAGAAAGAGTCAGACAAAAAAGAGTACATACTATATGCTTCCATTCATAGAAAACTGTAGAAAATGCAAACGAACCAATTCATTGGTTGCTTGAGAACGGGGTGGGGGGGGGGTATGGCATGAAGGATGGGAGGAGGGACCGCAGGGGCCAGAGGACACTTTTAGGGGTGATGGATGTGCTCGCCATCTTGATGGTGGTGACAGTTTCATGGGTGTCTACACAGCTCGGAACTTGTCATATTGCGTGCTTTGTGTATTGTGTGTCAAGAATACATCAACAGAGCTGTTTTTAAAAAATTAAAAGGCAAATGACAAAAGTGGGAAAATATTTTGAGTCAAATATGACAGACAAGGGGGTAACATAATTAACACATAAGGAAAACATTAACACCCTAATTAGTTTGCTAGGTGACCATAACAAAGGCCCACAGCCGGGGCAGCTTAAACAGCAGACATTCACTGTCTCCTGTCCTGGAGGCTGGAATCCCAGATCCAGGTGTGGGGAGGGCTGGGTCCTCCTGAGGCCTCTCTCCTCGGCGTGTAGACGGCCGTCTTCTCCTTGTGTCCTCACGGGGTTGTCCCTCCATGTGTGTCTGTGTCCTGATCTCCTCTTCTCATAAGGACACCAGTCCTATGGGATTAGGACCCACCCTAGTGACCTCATTTTACCTTAATCACCTCTTTAAAGGCTCAGCTCACCTCTTTAAAGGCTCAGCTTTAAAGGCTCAGCCTTTAAAGGCACAGCCACATTCTGAGGTGTTGGGGGTTAAGACTTCCACATATGAACGTTTGGAGGGACACAAGGCAGCCCATAACACAGCCTTATAGAAAAGAAATGAGCAAAAGGCATAGAAAAGTTACAGAGTCAGAAATGCAGATGACTCATAAATACATCAAAACGGTGTGAAACTAAAGTATCAATGAACACAAATGAGACGCGGTCTCCCCGCTCCCCACCTCTCCCTGCTCCAGTTTGCAAAGGTCCCCCCCAGTGCTGAGGACCCTTGGTTATTGTGTGCCAGACCCCAGCTAGAGGTGGGTCTCATGAAGATGCCAAGAACCCCTGGGGAAAGACTCCATCCATCCATCTGTGCATCCACCCATCTGTCCTTTCCTCCAACCATCTATAGCCTTCATCCATCCATTCATCTATCTGTCCATCCGTTTATCTACCCATCCATTCACCCACCCATCCATCTGTGTATCCAACAGACTACCTCACTCCCCAATTTCCTCTCTGCCCGATCCACGCAGGGCACCTCTGGGCATGACAATGGGGCCATGTCAGGGCCAGTCCGCCCTGGGGGGCGCTGACTGACCTCAGGGCCGCGCCCGGCCTGGACTCACCACGGGGAGGGCACCGCTCCTACCCTGTGGCTAAGGGAGCAGGCAGCCGCCGGCCCCCAGGAGGGCCAGGGAGCCCGGAGTTCCGGAGGAGGGCTGGGGGTGACGGGCCTGTCCCACACAGGACATCCAGAAGAAGCGGCAGAACAAAGACCTCATGGAGTTGCAGGCTCTCATCGACAGCCACTTTGAGGCCCGGAAGAAGGAGGAAGAGGAGCTGGTCGCGCTCAAGGAGAGAATCGTGAGTGCCGGAAGCTGTGGGCGGGCGCGGGCCCGGGGTGGCCAGGCCGCAGTGACCCGGCCCTCGTCCGGCTGCAGGAGAAGCGCCGTGCGGAGAGAGCTGAACAGCAGAGGATCCGGGCCGAGAGGGAGAGGGAGCGCCAGAACAGGCTGGCGGTGAGGCACCCCCCGCCCCCAGCCCCTGGCCCCAGAAACGCCGGGCTCCCAGACCCCCCTTCTCCCGACGTTCCCCTTGACACTGGCCAAGGACCCGGGCCGGTGGCTAAGGTCCCCCCGCCCTGCAGGACCCCCGCGAGAGGGCTGACCCGACCAGGACCTGGACCTTCCAGAAGGTTCCAAGCCCAGGCAGTCCTCGATGCCTGCCCTGAAGTCTTGGGGCGGGGTCTCCGCAGGAGGAGAAAGCCCGGCGGGAGGAAGAGGACGCCAAGAGGAAGGCCGAGGACGACCTGAAGAAGAAGAAGGCCCTGTCCTCCATGGGCGTCAACTACAGCAGCTACCTGGCCAAGGTGAGCACGGGGCCTGTGGCCCGGGGGTCCCCGCCACGCCCTCAGGCCGGCCGTGCCACGCCCCCACTGTCGTGTCCCCTCAGGCTGACCAGAAGAGAGGCAAGAAGCAGACGGCCCGGGAGATGAAGAAGAAAGTCCTGGCCGAGCGGCGGAAGCCCCTCAACATCGACCACCTCAGCGAGGAGAAGCTCACGTGAGGACGCCCCTCAGGGTGTGGGGGGGCCCGGCCCCAGCCTCCCGGGGCTGACCTGCCAACCCTCCCTCTCTGCCGCTCCCTCCCCAGGGACAAGGCCAAGGAGCTCTGGGAAACCCTGTACCAGCTGGAGACCAACAAGTTTGAGTACGCGGAGAAGCTGAAGCGCCAGAAATACGAAGTGAGTGAAGCACCTCTGCCCTCATCTGCCAGCGGGCACCCCTGGACACCCCCGAGTCCCCTCGGACCCCGACGAGGCCCCTGTCCTGCGGTGGACCCTGCCTGGGTGTCCTCCAGGCCAGTCTCCCCACATCATTCTGGCTCCCAGGGCTGGCGAGAGGGAGCATTGGGGCAGAGTGCCCTCGGGGGGCTGGGGGGAGACCGTGGAAAGCCAGCAGTGTCCCAAGCCCACCAGGTTGGCACCAAGCTCCTCTGTGGTGGGGGTCCTCCCCAGTCCCCTCCCAGGCCCCCAAGCTCAGAGCTGGGGAGGGGGCTGGGACAGTGCCCCTCCCCCGGGGGTTGGGCGCCAGGAGTTGCCTGAGAGGGGCTCACGACTCAGGACGGCAGCCCTGGGTGGACACCGTCCCTCGGAGTCTGGGCCTGGAGGGTGGGGCTGGGGGCACCAGTCCTGGGGAAGGACCCGCTGCGTGAAGCACAGACCCTTCTGGCCTCCAGGGTCCCGGGGAGAGGACCTTCCACTCTCAGGGCACCTCTCCCAGCTTCCTCTACTGGCCCCTGAGATGGAGGGTGTGGGAGACCAGTACTGACAGGCAGGCAAGTCCTGCCTCCTTCTCAGGATCCCGGTGCCCTTGGGCGAGTTGCCTGGTCTTCCTGCGCCTCGATTTCCCCACCTCTAACTGGAGCAGGACCACGCCCATCCCAGGCCACCCCCAGGGGCATGTGTATCGCTGCCGGCCCGCAGGCAGGACCAGGTGCGGGGGCATCACGGCTCTCTGCTGATACTCCCCTGGGAGGGCCGGCCTTGGAAATGGGCTTCAGAGAGAGCCCAGAGCGGCCCTACTCCTGTCCAGGAGGCTGAGCCAGGGCCTGACAGACTGTGCATGGCCCATGATGGGTCCCCGGGTGCTAAAAGAACCACACGAGCCCTGGCCCAGAATAGCCCAGCGCACGGTGGGTGCCGAAGCCTCAACTACCCACCCAGCCCCCTAACCGTCTCGGTCTTTCTAGATCATGAACGTCCGGGCCAGAGTGGAGATGCTGGCCAAGTTGTAAGTAGCCGGAGTCCACCCTGGACCAGGCTCTGAGTGTTCATGCACGGTGGGCCTCTCGCATGGCGAAAACCTGGGTCGTTGCAGGTGTCGGCGGCAGGGGGCACGGAGACCCCGGAGGCCTTCCTCTTCTCCTCCCGCCTTCCTCCTCCCCCCTGCCTGCCACCTGGGGGCTGCTGAGGCTGACCTGCTGTCTTGGCTGGCAGCGGGGGCCGGGCCTTGCCTTCCCCCAGCCTCCCCCCGGGCAGTCGGCAGGAGAGAGCAGCTGGGCGGAGGACTGAGAGGCCGCAGGGCTCTGAGCTCGGGCCCACCAGGTAGGGGCTCTGTTTGCAAGCCTCACCTCCGCCCCGTGCCCCCTGCCCCACATCCCGCAGAGTCTGGAAGGTAAGTGGCAGCTCCTGGGCTGTTGTGTGTCATAGCCCAGGTCTCCAGCTCGGGCCATCAAGAGTAGGTCAGAGGCACAAGCCCAAGGGTCCTCCAACCAAAGGAGCCGGGACGCAGTAAGAGGGCCAAGACCTGCCAGGGCCGCCAAGGGGCCCACGGGGCAGGAGGCCACTCCCCGGCCTGGCCCTGCTTGGACGCGGCAGGTAAGTCGCCTGTGTTGTTTGCAGATTACCAACCTCAGGAGCCGCATCGACCAGGCCCAGAAGCAGTGAGTAGCTCTGCCTGTCCCTTGCTCTGCACGGGACACACGGCCGCACGGGTCAGCTGCCACGGGTGCGCCAGGGCCCTGGCTATTTCAGCCTGTGTCGGTGGCAGCCGGCCTTCAGCAGGGTAGTAACAGGACTAGCCAGACGGCCACCTGGGCCAGCATGTCGGGACCCTGCACCCCTGGACCCAGAGCCTCCTCTCAGCCCTAACCCCAGAGCCCAGAAGGATGGCAGCTTGGGGGAGGGCTGGCAGGAGCCCCCTGGGCAGCCTTCAGAGTGGCCTGGTGAAGCCAGACTGGGCTCCTGGACGTGCCAGCAGCGTGTCACTTCAAAGGTGACCTGGGACCAGGAATCAGGGGGCCTGGGCTTTGTCACTAGCTCCTCCGTGGCCCTGGGTGAAATCACTGGTTCCTCAGGACGGTGAACCCTCGGGGTCCATGGGACCCTTTACAATAACTGCTGGGTAAGGCCTGGAGAGGGATTTTGTCCCGGAGCCTGGTGGCCGAGATGGGGCACGCCCCAAGGTGGGCAGTGGGGCTGGTGAAGGAGACGGTCCCTCCTCCCTGCCTCTGTGCAGGGCAGGGGTTTTTGCAGGTCCCTTCGAGAGGGGGCCGTTTGGCCAGGTATGTGCATGAGCACGTGTGTGTGCGTGCGTGTGCATGGCTGGGAGGGTTCTCAGGCTGTGGGCACAGCCCCAGCGCCAGGCCTTCTCCTGAAGCCTTGGGAGCTGCAGGGCCCATTCCAGCCCCAAGTTGTCCAAAAAAGAGCTCTGATCACCAGCCCATCCTAATGCGGCCCCCAGCTCGCTCCTGGCTCACTGGCGTGCAGAGGGCTCAGCCAGATGGAGCCGGCTCCTAAGGACCACCGTCCGTTGGGGTGGGACCTCCCGACCCCAGGGTCCAGTTCTAACCAGCGGCTGATTCTGGAACGAGACCCTCCCTGCTGCCAAGTCCATCAGGCTGGGACTGCTGGCCTGGAGTGTAGGACCAGGATAGCCCACTGCCCCAGGAGGCTGTGACTCAGGGGGCAGAGACTCTTTTCAGGACAGAGTAACTGGGAAGGTGGCAGCTTCCCACGCGGGCTTGGGTCTGCTTGACGTAGGGCCCCAGAGTCTCCCTGCCGCCTGTGTCTCGAGCCCCTCGGGTGGGGAAGGGAGGGAGGGGGAGGGGGACCAGGCTCTCGCCAGCCCCCACTTAGCCTCACTGACTCCCTCTGCACAAAGCCGCCCAAGCCTGGCTAGGCAGGTACAGGGGAGTCACTGCTGCTGGATTGGAGCTGGGGGATGCGCTGGGGCTTCCAGAGCCGGACCGGGCAGAGCTGCCAGGGTCTGGGGTCTGCCAGGGGCCAGGGGAGGGGTTGGCCAGGGTCCCGGATACCCTCATGCTCAAGACCACCTTGCTTCCCATTTGTAGCAGCAAGAAGGCCGGGACCACGGCCAAGGGCAAAGTCGGCGGGCGCTGGAAGTAAAGCAGCCGAAGAAGTTCCCAGAGGCAGAGACCCTCAGCCTGTGGGGCCCACATGGAGGCATCCAGCTCCCGGGCACCTCCTGTGTCTCTGTCCTCGCTGCCCCCAGCCTCTGGGGTCTGTAAATAAAGCTAGCAGACTCCCCTCGGACAGGTGTGCCCTGGCTCATGGATGGGGCCCTGGGGGGGCGGTGGCCATTCTGCAGCTAGGGGGCCCGCAGGACCCTGGGCACTCATCTTAGGGGTCAGCTCAGGAGACCGCGGGGCCATGGCTCTACTGTGCCCTGAGCGCTATGCCCCGGACGCCCACCGGCTCTGCCAGTGGCTTCCACTTCTGTCAACGGGTTTTCACCCCTAGAACCTTCTGTCTCCACTCCGAGAGCCCACACACTGCTCAGTTCTCCACCCCAGCGCCCAGCCCCCCAGGTCAGCTCTGAAGCTGGTTTGGGGCAGTAGAGCTTGGCTTTTGCAGGGGGTCTGGGAGGCAGGCCCAGGGCACAGTGGGACACTTCACAAACGTCCCCCAGAGATGGGGCAGAAGGAGAGTCCAGAGCACGAGAGGTGCACACAGCCCCAGGAAAGGAGTGGAAAAGCACATTTCAGGGAGCAGACACAGCAAACACAGACCGTTCTTTCTGTATTATCTGAGAATACAGTGCTCACTGTGTAATAAGTCTGAAAGTCCTGACCAAATAGAATTACGGAAAATATAAATCACAAAAATTGGATCAAGACATAGGAGCTTGCACAGCCAAGTATCCACAGAGGAAGCTTCCGGAGTCTGGAACCGCCCCCTGGGAAGGCTCTGCAGAGTGGTGGAAAGTAGGGAGCATCCCCGATCAGCCTGCCATGGGGGCCGGGATCCCGACAACGAGGTCGCCCGCCCAGATGGCACATGCACGCACGTGGCACGCAACCCAACGCACACATCCATGCCCCCTCATGTACCCTCCCCCGCATATACATCCATAAATATGCGTGGACTGCGCCCCTCCCCACCCCCATGACAGGGCTGTTTGCAGTCGGTGTAAATGCTCTGAGCACAGCCACTGTGCCTTCCTGCAGTGATTCGAAGATGAGCACCTTCATGTAGTAAATGGTGGGGTCCATTGACCCCCTAGCACTGTCCCTCCACTCGCACAGAACTAACGGGACTAAAGCTGCCCTGGGGAGAGGTGGTCAGCACATGCGAGAAGCAGATTCAGCTCACCGAGATTGTACAGATTCAGAGCAATGTGCGCTGAGTCACACATGGCGGAAACCCAGGGAATGAACAAGTCCGGGATCTGAGTGGGAGATTTTCAAGCACATCTCATAGTCACAGAGAGGTCAGGAGGCTCTAAGTTGAGGGGGCAGGCATGTGAGGTTCAAAGAAAACAGTTAGGCTCGACTGATGGAGGTTGATGGACCACGGTTCCTCCAATCTGGAGCGGCGTGTGAAACATTTCAGAAGCAGATTATAGAGGAGGATTCAGAGCAAGTCTCAGGCTCTAATGGGAATGTCCCAGCCAACGATCTGCAGCCCAGTCAGAACCAAGGGCAGGTAGCTTATTAGCGGACGTTTAGAAATGCAAAAACACACTGAATAGATGAGGAATCACAGAGGAAATTGGGATGGGACTTGGGAAGCACCTTGGAGCTGAGCGATAATGCGGGACCAGAGCAGAACTTGGTGCTGCTGACTCCAGACCTACAGGGAGATGTCAGGGCCTGAAGGTTGGGGTTGGGGGAGACCCATATTTTTAATAAGTTACACATCACATTCAAGAAGTTAGAAAAGGAACAAAAAACTAAAACAGTAAGAGAAGCATGGAAATGAGTAAGGAAAAGAGAAGAAGACAGTAAAATAAAGAAACAAAATTGGCAGGGAAGGTCAACAGAGAAAAAAATTGGCTCTTCAAAAGGACTGATAAAACAGTCCAACATCTGGCATGAAAATCAGGTAGGAAGGGGAGAAGACATAAAGCACGTTGAAATGAAGAGAGAGCATGTGACAAAGGTGGCAGAGACTAAATTAGCAGTAAGAGCGGAGCATAGACAACTCTATGACCGTGTATATGAAACCTAGATAAGATGGCTAGTTTCCGGGGGAGATAGACTTTACCGCATTGAAGCATGAAACTCGAATACACTGACTTCATCTTAAAGATGCTGAACCAACAATTAAACAACTCCCCACCAAAAGATACTAAGATTTTGAAAATTACATCATGACCAAGGGGGTCCTCTCTAGTGCAAAAAGAGTTTTATATTAGAAAACTGAGTAATATGACGATTTATGACACATAAAGAGTTTAAAGGCTGGGGAAAAAAATTGGATGACACGGAACACGGCTTACGAATTCTGAGTCAATCAGGAATAAAAGGCAATTTCCACAACCTGAGGAAGACATCTTCCAAAATCCTACAGCAAATCATCTTAATAGTAAAAGGTTTTAGAAGGTTTTCTTGCCTACTAGTCCCTTAAAAGAAACTACCATTATTCACAATCAAATAACTGTCTATAAGGAAACCCAGGAAAATCTGCAATTCTAAGTTTTTAGAATTAAGAGGAGTGAGGATGTGTGCATGTGAGCGCAAGAGAGAAAAATGGAAAGGTAGGAGGCAATGTTCAAAGATGCCATTTACAAGAGAAACGTAAAAAAACAGGATAAGAACAAATCTAACAAAAGACGTGAAAGATAAATAGAGTGATAATAAAATCCCTTTATTGAAAAGTTATTACAGAAGAGCTACGTCACTGGAGATGTCACCGTGTTCCACAAGATCTTTAAAATGTTTGTTCTCCCTAAATTAATCTGTGAATTCAGGGCAACTCACCCACATTCCAATATGGATTCCCATGTAAATTGACACTGATTCTAAAATTCCTGTGGAAGGAAATGGGGTCTGAATATCAGAAGACTGAGGCTGGGGAATCTGACCTACCAGCCACCCTCCCATGTGAAGCTGGGTTCCCTAAGCCGCTGGAATGCCTGCTCCCAGATGGACACAGAAAAGAGAGTGAAGCCCCCCACACAGGGGAACTTGATGGGGAGGGGGGCAGACATGGTGCCAGGAATAATGGGGGAAAGGATGGGATATGTTGACTGAAATAAAAACCTACAATGGGAGAGCTGCGAGTTTCAGTTTCATTTGGGGTCTTACTAAAGACTATAGCCTGGGAAACAGCATCGCAGTAGCTCTGAGGAACTGTTCCAAAGATGTAGGAGAGGGCAATCAGTATATATGTGATTTTGGTAAAGGGGTACGTACCATTAAGAGCACATCTTGGTAGAAGGTTGCTGCTGGTCACAAGGAACAGGTATCTCAGTTAATGATTTTAGTGTTTTTCTAAGTATGAGACGATGCAAGAATCTGGGTTCATAAATTTTCTCCTGAAAATATCAAACTACCTGAGGGCCGGTTCTGCCTGTTTTCCCAGAGCACAGAGTGTCTCATTCCTGATCTTTGCCTTGAATTCCTTTCAGGGTGTGCTGTAGGTGGAACTGGGTGGTGGGCAACATTCTTTTACAGCTGAAACAGCTGCATATCCACTGAGAACAAAATAAAATAAGCGCTGTCCTCCTTCATACCATCCACCAAAAATCCATTCCTGGTCATTGAAAGACCTAAGTCTGAAAAAGAAAACATTCAAAATTTTAAGAAAACACTATAGGAGAGTAATCAGAAAGTTCTCCTACCAGGGAAAATTTCTTAAATAAGGCATAAACCCCCCCAAATCATAAAACGAAAGATTGATAAATTCGACAAGAATAAAGTTTAAAAAATAAAATTCTCCGCATCGGAAGACACCACGAGTGAAAATGCAAGGCATCTCTCGGGAGGAGATATTTGTGACACACGTCAGTGATGAAGAATTAGTATTCAATGTATACTGTAGGCCCTATGCACCCATGGATTCAACCACCCTCGGACTGAAAGTGCTCAGAAAGGGAAATTCCAGGAAGTCCTCAAAAGCAAAACTAGCATCTGTTGCATGCCAGCAACTATCTACGTCATATTTACAACTAGTTACATAGCATGTATATTGTATTAGATATTATAGATAATGTAGAGATGGTTTGAAGTACGCAGGGGGATGTGCTTAGGTTGCAAACATATCACTGTTTTATATAAGGGACTTAACCGTCCCTGGATTTTGGTATCTGTGGAGTCCTGGGACCAATCCCCCTCAGACACGGAGGATGGATGTATAAGGAACTTTAGGATACCATTAGAAAGGCAAGCAATTGTGTAGAAAAATGGGCCAAGTTGGGAGTAATCAGCTCACAGAAAAGAGAACCTGAGCGATCACAGCAAATGGGAAATCAAATGTAAACTACCACTGTTGCCAGTTCAGACCAACCAGGTGAACAGAACACAGATGTCAGTGAGGGGAAGGAAAGAATGCAGCTAATAAATGCAGAAGGAGGGATAGAACGAGAAAATCTTCATTAATGTGATGCTTGACTGAGGCAAGGGTCATCACTGACATGACTGGATGAAAAATTAGTGGAGTGCAGAATTATTCAGTCTCCAAGTAACACCCCTCTGATGACTTATGTTGACAGAAATACTCAAACAGTCTACAATAGGAATAGAAAAGAATTTCATGTGAGCCAAACTGAGGACTATAGCCCAGAAGATAGCCTCTCAGATAACGCTGAGGGACTGCTCCCAAGAAGCACGGTTTTCAGCACAGTTTTATGTCTTTTTGGAACAAAGAACATCAAACAAGTCAGGGGTACATTCCTTCAAGTTTTCGAGAAAAAACAGATCAGCACGTACACAGTGAGTCAGCATGGCCTGGGCGCCTGGGAAGGGAGTCTTATCATCAAAAGAGGGCTAGCATTGGCATCCCAGGAAGGGAGGCATTTATCTTTATTTTTAACGTGGACATTCTTTACTTCTGGTCAATACGCTCTTTCCTTTAATGATTAAAGCAGACGTACGATGCATGTGTGCTAGGCTGTTTTTCTTAGCATAAAATTCAAGTTAAATCATGTATAAGCCAGAATGATTTCCCCAAACCTGGATATGTGAAAATTTCTTTCATTATTTC